AGAGAGAGAGAGAGAATTTTAACATTTATTTATTTTTTCTTAGTTCTCGGCGGACACAACATCTTTGTTGGTATGTGGTGCTGCTGAGGATCGAACCCGGGCCACACGCATGCTAGGCGAGCGCGCTACCGCTTGAGCCACATCCCCAGCCCCTGAACATAGATTCTTAGCATGAGTATTGCTTCTGTTTCTGAAACCTATAACAAAAGTGATCCAGGGTCCTTGAATTTGAATGAAATTTGTGATTTTTCTTCTTTATCTGTTTTGGTTTAATGACTTGAAGCTGTTTCCGACTGAATTTTGTATCCTTACAAAATCTGTATGCTGAAACTCAAATCCCCAGTGTGATGGTATTTGGAAGTGAACTTTTGGGAAGTGATTAGGTTTAGAAGTCATGAGGGCGAAACATCCATCATGGAAATAGTGACTTTATAAGAAAAGGAAGAGACAGCAGAGCTTTCTGTCATGGCCAAGTGAGGATACAGTGAGAAGAAGGCTGTCTGCAAGCCAAGGAGAGGGCCCTCACAAAGAAATGAGCTTCTCTGACCTTGATTTTAGACTCTCCAACTTCCAAAACTATGAGAAATACTCATCAGTTATTTAAGTCACCCAGCCATGTTTTTTGTTACAGCAGCTAAGTCAGACGCCAAATTCTCATTTTCTCTTTTTCAATGAGAAATATAATATTATTTACACTTTAAATTATTAAATTATTAATATTAATATTATTACACTTTTCCAGAAACCAGTCTAAGATTCTCCAGATTCTGTAGATAAAGTAACATGACCATACAGTGACTACTCTGACTTATTAAGTATTTCCTGAGACAGTAATGATTTGATCAACTACCATTGTTGGATAGCACTCTTAGGCTTCAACCAATAAATGGAGACTTTCATTAAACTCTAACAACTTCTAATGGCAATAGGGAGTTCCATAATTCAACCGCAGGATAAACTTTTAAAAAAATGCTTTAGGATCATATTAAACCTTATAAGATTTTGTTATTTTTGTTTTGTTTTTTGTTTGTTTATTTTTGCTCTTGGTAGATAGATATAATACTTTGCCCTGATTTTTATCTCCCTTCAAGAGCAAATTCATTTCCCTAGAAACATGGTATTTTGAATTAGTAAAGAGTTATAGGAATAAATTCTTTAGGCACCATTTAAGAAGCTTACTTGAAATTTTGGAGTCTCACACCAAATGCTTACTATTAAATAGCAATATGTTATATGAAATGTCAAATGAAAATGCTATCATAATTCACTGGATAAAGTTTAATTTTTACATCATTTTGATAAATTTTCCTCATTTACCAATATAGACACAAATCATAACTTAAGGTTGTCAAGTGAAGGCAATAAAATATTACATACCTTCAGATGACCTCTATCCAGAAATTCTTTTCACTATTCACATTTTATCTGTCAAATAGTACTTTCTTTAAAAAGCAAATACAAATGCCATTATAGGGAGAAGCTACCAGCCTCAGACAAGTTCTAGCATTTAGAACTCTGACAGATTTTAATTTGGATATCAGCCAAAGTCAATAAAACTTGTTCATGCAGAAACTTACCTGGTTTTCACCACATCCAGGGGGTGCATCAGGCAAATTTCTACAAGACCTGAAAGATGATAAAGGATAGTCCAATAAACACTTATGTAAACACTGGTTCTTATTCCCTGACCCTATTAATTTCTCAAAGTTGAAGATGCAAATAAAGAATTTGGAACTTTGGACCTGACAACCAATAGAAGTAGACTAGTTACAAAAGACAAAAGCTTAACATGATTTTATTTCAATGGGAGTAGAATTTTTGAGTATTTTCTTAAAAGTGCTCTGTAGCTTAGTAGGGCTAATGGGGAAAAATGAAACAGGAATCAGCCTGTATTCCAATCATGTAAGCAGGTATTATTGCAATCTCAATCCAGCTCAATTGATAAAGACTGGGAACATCTATTATTTATAGAAATAAACATTAAAATGGAATCAGATGAACTGTTACCATAGGCTAGAAGTGGCCTCAAGAAACTGAATCATACTATGTACTTCTTGGCAATCGTATTACCTAGTATGAAATCACAGCCTAAATAATGTGTTAGGGAATAGATTTTAATAATTTCTCTTTTTTCATCAAATTGAAAGTCTAACATAAGAAAGAAGATGACTCAAATATCCAGTTCCATTTAACAATCTATCCTAATTGGTAGTTTAAGACACATTAATTAATTGCTAGTTCAAGACCTAGAAAATTTGCTCTCACCAAGCTGGTATTTAAATTTAAATTCATCAGTCACAGATAAACACAAAATAAAATGATTTAATCTTCTCACTCATGCATAATATAAAAATTATATTGCCAATAATCAACTATAAAACCACTTTTCCTGGGAGGGGGGAACACTAGAACTTCATAGTAACTTGAGGAAGGTTGTGAAAAATGCACAAGAAACTTAAATAATTATAGATTTAGATCAGTGCTTTTCTAATAGACCTTTTTTTATTTTACATTCAATATAAAACCAGAATAATAGACACTTAAAGAGATAAAATAGCGTGCTGGGGTTGTGGCTCAGCAATAGTGCGCTCACCTAGCACGTGCGAGTTGCTGGGTTCAATCCTCAGCACCACATAAAAATGAATAAATAAAATAAAGTTATTGCATCCAACTACAACTAAAAAGTATATTTAAAAAATTTTTAAAAATAAAATATCTACAAGTGAAGTTTACTTTTTAATGGGCTAAACTATATAAATCTTCTACTCATTTTATGGATAAAAAACACAATAAAAACTTAAGCAAACTACAGTATGAAAATAATTCGAAAAACATAAAAAGAATCATACTGTATATCAGGAAGTTAAAATCTTCCATTGCTATTTTCATTTGAGGCAACTGCTGCTTTATCACAATAACAAGCAAAATAGACTTGCTACTTGATTTGTTTAAAGTAGGAGAAAGACTAATTTTATAAAGCTGGACATAAAACTTAAGGAAACCCAAAAGTATACTGATGTTGTAAACTTAATATATCATAAATGTTTTTGGTGTTTCTACAGATTTGTGGCACTTTAGTGAGCATAACAATTCTGTATGGTTCCAATGAAGCTGGGAATGTGACTACTATGGGCACAGGAAGGCGTGGGCTAGCCTCTGAACTTGTAAGTTAGGATATTACTGAATGAATGCTCCCTTCTGCTTAAGTACATGCCTTCACGGGGGCCAATATTGCTGGGAAAGGATTAACATTCGCTTGTTTTTAATGCTCCTCCCACTTTCCATCTTTTCTGAGAGGCTGTCCTGGCCCATTCAACCCAAACCTACACTGAACATTAGTTCCACCCTCTTTCCTCTGATAAAAGCTGAGCTATACCTGTTTTCCTAATAAAAGTACAAACACTGTCATGCAATGATTAGTTGGCAAAAGAACAGCTTCTCAGTATTCAATTTCTTGGGATTTTTCTTTTTTTTCTAGAATGTTTTACTCCTATAAGGACACACACATACACACACACACACACACACACACACACACACACACACACACATACTTCTTCTGAGAATTCTACTCACCTTCAAATCTCAATTTTGGCAACCATTTTCCCAGAAATCCTGGGGCAGAGATGATTAGTTATCCTCTCGTATTCATCCCCTCTTTTTTTCTGGCTACCCAGAATAAATAATGCATTTCCCAGTTTTCCCTGCTGCTGGACATTGCCATGTGATTAAGTTCTGGCTAATGGGATGTAAGTAAAAGTGGCTTGAGCAACATCTAGAAGTCTTTCAATGGCAGAGAAATTGTTCCTGTCATTCTTTCCCCTCCTTCCTATTGTGGAATGGGGAAATGGAGTTGAAATAGCCATCTTGGACAAGGTGACTTTGGGAATTGAGGCCACAAATAGCATAGTAACAAGACAGAAGTAGTCCTTGACATTGTGGAGTTGTAGTCTGTCTACCTCCAGATATTCATTTTGGAGAAAATTTTCTGTTTACTTTAAACTACTGCTATTTGCATTTCTGCCACATGCAATTGACCTAATTCTATCTGATTAGGAGCCATTTGATGTGCACTACCAGAACCCTGAGCTTGTATTCTGACTCTGCAACCATCTATGTTCTTGTCTGAAAGCTCCATGAGGGCAGAAACTCCACCTGCTTTGTTCATCTTTGCATTCTTATCACTTTGCATGATGATTGCACTCGGTAAGATCAAGAAAATATATGCAAAAAAAAAGAAAATATTTGCTGAATAAACAAATAAATGCTGAGTTATGTTTCTGTGCATGCCATCATAATTCTCAAAATAAACTGAACTGGTAGCTACTTATTCTGCACTTATTTCATTAGTTCGAACATTATACAAATAAGCAGGTAAGGGCAGAGAAGTAATCATAAAATTGATACTAAATAAAGCATAAGAAGTACTTGAATACAGAATTGCAATGTTGTTTATCACACATCTAGATGTTCAGCTTTTAAGTAAATGTGGAAAGACAACCAGCAAACTTAGTTTGACAAATGATTGTTGCAAGCTGTGTGATTTCATGGTATTGTGCAAGGTACTGGGAACGGTCTGATACAGCATCGGGGCTGCTGGAAAGGCTGAAGGATTTCAAAGGTCTATGCAGAAGAGACTCATTGAACTGGGTGCAGTGGCTCATGCCTGTAATCCCAGCAATTTGGGAGACTGAGGCAGGAGGATCACAAGTTTGAGGCCAGCTTTAGCAACTGAGTGAGAACTTGTTTTTTAAAAAAGTGACACCACTGTAATGATTTAGATATAAGGTATTACCTAAAATCTCATGTGTGAGAGAGTGCAAGAAAATTTAGAGGTGAAATAATTGGGTTATGAGAGTTTTAACCTAATCAGTGCATTAATCCCCTCTTAGGGATTAACTGGGTGTTAACTGTAGGCAGGTAGGGTATGGCTGGAGTGGGTGGGTCACTGATGCACAACTTTGGGGTCTATATTTTGACCATGGTGAGAGAACTCTGTGCTTTCTGGTGCCATGTTCTGAGCCTTCCTCCACCACTCTTCTTCCATGATGTTCTGCCTCACCTCCAGCTCAGAGCGATGGAGTAGGCCATCTGTGGACCAAGAACTCTGAAACTGTGAGTGCCAAGTAAACTTTTCTCTGTTAAAATTGTTCTTGTCAGGTCTTTTTGTTACAGCAGTGAAAAAGCTGAGTAAAATACTCACTGAGGAAGGTATATAAAGGGAAGATATCAAACAGAAAAAAGTAACATACATATAATCACCTTTCAATCGCAGTGATTTAGTGTTGCTATTTACAATTAAAAATGTTGTTATTTATGTTCTGCATCAGTTCAAGCCTTATGTGACTGTTTCCTTTCATCCGAATTTGTCACCCTTCTTCAAACAGTATGTTATAGATCACATAAAACAAATGACAGGGGGCTGGGGATGTGGCTCAAGTGGTAGCGCGCTCGCCTGGCATGTGTGTGGCCCGGGTTCGATCCTCAGCACCACATACAAACAAAGATGTTGTGTCCGCCGAGAATTATAATAAATAAATATTAAAAAATTCTCTCTCTCTCTCTCTTAAAAAATGTTTTAAAAAAATAAAAATAAAACAAATGACAAAAATATAAACAAATATTTTTCAATTTTTAAGTAAAAATGTAATCTGTGGTCTTGGAATTCTTTGTATTTTATTATTTCTTGTCCTAAGTCACAAGGCTGATTTCTGTGAGGTAAAGTGATATATTTTAAAAATAAGTATCTCACAAGGAAGCAGTTCTAAGGTTTTCACCTTCTTTGCCAGCAACCACTGGTAGATATCTTATAACTCAATGATATCCTTTTTCTTTAGAGCTAGGAATAGAAAACCACATCAAAGTCATCACTACCCAGAAAGGACAGGGTTGAACTTTTTTTTTTCATTCTGGAGACTTAAAATGCTTACAACATAAACCAGAGGATTTCTTTCTTTCTTTTTTTATTTACCCATCTCTTTACCCAGAGAAGGTCTCAAAAAATTGACAATAGCAAGTGCATTACTGCAATGATGGGCTGATTGACTATGGAACATATGCACCCCCTGCTAACTCCCTAATTGAATTCTAAAGACTAGAAATCTAGATATCTGTTGTCTTCCTGTGCCTTCCTTTCCACTCCACATCTGCCTTCACCCAGGAACAGTGTTACTGTGGACTTCCGTGACTCATTTATTAATTTATTTTTGCAGTACTGGGGTTGAACACAGGGGCATACTAACACTGAGCTATGTCTCCAGACCTTTAATATTTGTATTTTAACATGGGGTCTCACTAAATTGCAAAGGCTGGCCTCAGATTTGTGACTCCCCTGCCACAGACTCTCAAGTTGCTGGGATTACCAGTGTGTGCCACTGTGCCTGGCTTCAGTGACCATTTTAGCAAAGAATGTAGGCTTATGGGAAGCAAACTGGATGACCCAAAGTTGAATATAAATTATTAAAGAAGAATATTGAGAGATTCTTTAGTTAAAGTCTTAAGATTGATTTTAATTATATGCAATCTTATTATACACTGGTCTGTCCTGAGATGCATTTTTGAGAATAGAATATTCTAAATCTATTCTGCCTTATTTTTACTGAATCAATTTACCACTCCTCTTTCAA